GTTCGCTATTTTGTAGGTCACCACGCTGTGGGGCTTGAGGCGAATGTACCTGGGGGAGCCCAAAAAAAAAAAAAAAAAAAAAGGAACAACACTCTTTAGTGGTCGTCCCGTTCACGTGAACGGCCGTTCACAAAAAAAAACACCAAATGAACGGCCAGTCACGTTCAACTGACCGGTGCCGGCACGTTCACGGGATCAGCACTGATCCACACCACTAGATTCACAATACATCAACGGCAGAGCTCCGTCCCACCATGACACACGTTATAGAAAGCTCAGCGTTGAGAAAACTCAACTTGGGCGGTGGGACTTCACCCCTGGAGTTGCAAACTCGGCCTTGCGGCTGTTATGCATATCAAGAGTTTCTACTGGATTTGAAACTTGGGACCGTACTGGACTCCAAAACGGCGGTTTGAAATGCATTTACAAACTGCTTTCGTGACTGCGCCTCATTACCCCATAAATAAAAGAAAAAGAGGATTTCTTTTTCATTTTTTTCATGACTGATACGGAGTGTGAGGACTGTGCCCTCAGGGGCCCTAGGCAATGTGCATATATTATGGAACGTGGGCCCCAGCAAGCCTCGTGCCTGCCCTAAGTGCAGGTGAGCCTGAATATTTACGAGAGGCCCTTATCTCATCAATTTCCAATATCTGTCTCAGATAGTTGCTGCACGACAGTTGGTTGAAGTGCATCCTGAGCCTCTTCCAGATAGTTGCGCCCAGGGTCCGGGTGGTTGTGCCCTGGGCACACACATTGAGAGGCAGATACATCACGAAGTGGCCACGGGCCCCCTACCTTTCGAATAACAGTAAGTTTTTTCAGATGGCTTTTCAGCCAAGCCTAACAGGTAAGAGAGGGATCGAGGATAGTGAGAGCAAGACACCACGCATCCTACTAGTGAAGGGGCCAGCTGGTAGGATAGAAATGGGGCATAGCACCAGTAGAGATGGTGGCTTTGCTGCAGTAAGTCTTGCCAGAGTGAGGTAAGAGGACTGATAGTGGATCCTCGAGGGTTTTCCGAACTTGGTTTGACTCTGAAGTTTCCCGCAAAAGGGTCTGGAATAGTTCTTGTAGGCTCCTAGTCTTATTTTCATGGAATTTTCTGAATTTTCTGATGATTTTTCTGAATTTGTTTGTTATGGGACGCTGGGCCCGGTTCCCAGTTTGTGCCAATTTGTGAGGATATGGTTGTATCTATGGGATGCTGGACCCGGTTTTCAGCAGGTGCTGCTCCCCACCAATAGATGGAGCTTGTGTTTTCTCGAAAAAAAAAAAAA